ATAATTGTTACTAGATCATATTTCTCAGTGAGGTTATATGAAAAGAAAAATTTAACTAAAATAATAGAAGCACTTATGGTTACACAGTATATGTAATTGATATCTCCTGATGTTACACAGTATCCATAATTGATATCACCTGATTTTTGTTTATATTTTTTAACCAATAAAAATTTTTGTGATTATATTGAGGGTGATTATTCGTGATAATCACTTGGTTAACTCTTCTTAAAATGTCCCCTTTGAAACAGCTTATTTACGTCAAAACTGATGAAACTTTGAGTTCACAGACCATCTGCTCAAAATGGCAGAAATTCTTCAAGTCATCTGCAGATTCATCTGATATTACGACATTAAACTCTTTGACACAAGGCAAAAAATGCATTTTAGAAAGAATTTCAAGTTCTTCAAAAAATTTTATAGCACTTTCTATATTTTAGATATTAAAATAAATATCTCTATAATTTTTTATTAAGGTAGTGAATCTGGGTGATTATTGAACTGGAGGTAAAAGAATTTCTTTACTGTTTTCTGTTATTATTTTATGCCAGCAAAATAATTTATTATAATAAAATATAAAAAAATTTAAGCAATTTGTATAGAGATGAATAAGTGATTTATCTAAATTTTATTCTTTTTATATACGAAAAACTAGATAATTTATAATAAATATATTAGACGAAAAATACACAATAGGTTTTGAAAATAAATTAATTGTATTATTAATATAAATATTATATTGCATTACTAGTTTATTATAGCTTATTTTTCTGGAAGTTAACTTGTAATGGGGTAGTATATTAGTAAATAAATAATGATGTATATTAATTATTATAATACAATTATTGTGCTAGTATAAATAAAAAATTTATATAATATAATCATTGTGCTAGCATAAATAACAAGAATTATAATTATAGAAATTATTAAATAATGATAGTTTTGAATTTCTAACAGTTTATTACTGCTTGTTTATATGATATAATGCTACCCTGTTAACTACCCAAAATTGCCACCAAAAATTTTTTTACTCATATGAAGATCTACAGGAATTATCTAATAGGTAATAATAATTTGATGTAATATAATATGATCAGAAAAATTCAAAACAAATGTTCGTTTTTGAGAAAATTAGAAAAACTGAAAATTAGTATAAGAAATGAGCAATTTTATTATATTTACTACTAAATCCTAACCCTTATACTAACCCTAATCCTAAGTAAATAAACTTTAAAGAATTTACCGCATATCACGTAAATGTGAATACTATTAAAAAAAAACAGATTAGCAGGTATACAAGTAACAACACTTGATGCAAAAAAAAGATGTAACTAATTCTGCCCATACTCTAATGCTAACCTAACTCTAATGCTGGCCATTTCGCTGTGCAAATTGCTGTGTTGGTATAATTCTCCTGAAAATATATATACCTGCATTACATAATCAAAAAAGTAAACAAATGTGAATCATTTAACATTTGTTTACATTTTTTTGGCTAATTAAAATTCCTATGTGATGATATCGAGTGTGACAATTTGAGATAATCACTGGGTTAACTTTTCTTAAAACTTCTCTTTCAAAGATATTAATAATTGATTTTGTTTCTGAATGATTAACTATATTATATCTGTAAAGCTCATTATATTAAAAGGTGTGTATCATTTTATGCTTTCTTTTTTCTCTCTTGTTATGTTTAGCTTAAACAATGCATTGAAAATTTTATATAGAATAGTTAAAAAATATTAACAAAGTAAACAATAATACGCACAATGCAGATCATCATATTTTCACTTATAAATTGAGCATGGAGACCCCAACCAGATTTACTTATTTGTGCAAGTAATATAACCCCAAAAAAGAAAATTTAATATAAATATAAGCTAAGTTCGTGAAGAGTTAGTTAGATGCTATAGAAATAAATATTTATCTTTTATATGTAATATTTCATTTTCATTACTTTTAATTAGTAACAAAGACAAGTTTAAACACTCAGTTTCTTGTATTTTCACTTTTTTCAATTTTTTTTATATTTTTCTTTGCTTTGCTTACATGTTTGGCTAATCTGGGATAATCACATTTTATGTTCTCCAATTGGCTAATTTTCCTTTTTGAATTGTATCACTTGCACAAATAAGTGCATGCCAACCAGGAAACTGTTTCTAAAAAAAATTATGATCTTAATTATACATATTAGTTTAGCCAATTAAAACCATAACTTTTATCAGATGAAAAATATCACATGCTGATTAACCAATAAAAATCGTAAAATAGAAAGAAAATAAATGTCACCAATGTTGTTGTTGAATAAGCATATATTTATTAATTTAAAAGATTTAATTACAATTTAAAAAGTACATTAATTACTGTTTAAAGTTATTCACACAGGTCTATATAAAAATCATTTGATTTTAAAAATTATATGATTTATATAGACCTGTGTGTACGAATAAACATTTGAAAAAAACACAGGTTGTTACATAAGAATCGTATGATAAATTATATTACAGTATTGTATTTAGTAAAAGAGAAAATGTATTAAAATACAAGCCCTTATATAATAAAATTGATCCTTATTAAGTTTGTGATTAATGTCATTATATCTGATTTGTGATCTTGTAATACCATGACCTAATGTACCATGATTTCAATTGGCTAATTTTGATCACAAGACCCAGCTGCAGTATCTACAAAAAGAAGAATTTCTAGTACAGTATTAGTGAAGTTAATAAAAAAGTAAAATACTTATTAAAGAAATGAAAGAGCACTTATCTAAGTCCAACACTATCTCCACCTATCTATTACTCAGACCAAGTCTTTCCATGCCTTAATCGTTGCCTTACCAATATTAGGGTATTAGTTTAAGTAGTTATAATTAGTGTTGGTGTTTTATAGTAGGTAATTATTATATACCGGCCCAGTAGACTTTCCAACGCAGCCCAGTTACTCACCCCCTTTTACATTTGGTGGTGACTGTGTGATAGAACTTCCCTAATCACCTCATTTATAACCTTATTCCAACCTAAATTAAAAACTATTTTTTTTTAAAAAAAAAAAAACATCATCGAACCAAATCAAACTAATCAACTTATCTAAAATCATGGAAGATTTATTATTTGAAGATGATCAAATTATTGAGGAAAACGGGCCCCAAGACCAAGACGATCAACCTGCACAACAAACTCAGGCTTATGACCTTCTTAGAGAGATAGCCCAAGCCTTTAGAGAAGTCGCCATGCATAATGTTCTTCTGGTTAGTTGCGAAAATCACTGGGTTCATGTTAAAACCTTCAAAGGCGAAGAGGATGAGGATCCAGTCGAATGGATTGAGGCCTTCAAAAGAGCTGCCGACGCCAACAATTGAACTCTAGCAAGAAAAATTAAAATTGTGTCAGGCCACTTGTCAGGAATTGCCGCTAGTTGGTATAATGACCATAAAGATGATTTTCTTTTTTGGGATGATGAAACCCACGTAGACCATAGCTTCGTTCAAGCTTTCTCAAATATTTTGCAACCCCGGAGCGTAAACATCAGTGGCAAGTAGAGTTAAATACATTGAAACAAAAAGATAATGAAAAAGTCGATCATTACGCCTACCAGTTCAAGTAACTGTTGAAGAAAGTTGACCCCGATGGACAACTACCAGTGATCTACGTAGTCAGAATGTTCCTAGAAGGACTCCGTGGTAAGACAGCCGTGCTAATGTCTCTAGAAGACTTTAAAAAGCTGGATGATGCAATTGCTAAAGCCTGAAAGATCGAAGCTGGAACCTATTATAAAAATAAAGAGAGCAAGAATGAAGCTACCAACAAGCTGATGGATGATTTAACACAGCAAATACAACAAATAGTGAACAATTGTTAGCGATTAACTACTGCCCTTGCCACTAGAATCGAAAGTCATCCCGCCTAGCCCAAAATAACCAAAATAGACCCCGTCAGCCTCGCCCAACAAACAATGGTAACATTGTTTGTTATAACTGTGGTGAAAGAGGCCACATCGCTCAAAACTGCCTTTTCAAACAACGTCAAACCCCTGGAAGAGCTCTTGTAACCGAAAATGAAAGACCAACCTGTCCTAATGTTAACTTATACGACATCTTTACCCAGGAACCTGGAAGAGAAGTAAAAACTGCCTCACAACCCGACCACCAACTCTATGTCATAAAAAGGCAAAAAAGACCCGACACAGTGACCAACCCTAATTGGGATGAACAGCTAAGAAAAAGAGTTACTATTGAACAAAATCAGGGAAATCAACAAACCCAACCCGTCACTATGGAAGAAGTCTTTCAAGAACAAACTCAAACCATAGCCCAACCCCAGCAAGAAGTAACAACTCGATCAAGACGCGTTTGGGGTCCCTCTGTAGTTGATTTGGCCCCACTTTATAATATTGCTGACGACCTTTTGAGTCAGCACTTGAATGCTACATACGCCCAAATGTTACAGATACCCAGACAACGCAAAAACCTCGCTTAGGCATTGTGCTGTCCCCTCGTGACCTCAGTAGAAGAGACCCATTTAGCAGACCCAAGCCAAATTCCAGAACTACCGCTACTAAATACTACATTAGGATCAAAAATAACCTGGTTTTGGCGGTTTTAGATTCCGGGGCCACTGTAAGTATTTTGTCCAAGAAGCTAATGGACAAATTAGGGTTGAAAATCCAGGAACCATCAGCTGCTATTGTTGTTACTGCTAACGGAAGTCGAGAGCGGGCCCTAGGAAAAATAGAAAACATGAAATTAGCCGTTGTAAGCGCATTAGTTCCCACCAATTTTCAAGTTATCAAATCCTCTGATGAAACCATGCTTCTTGGCATAGACTGGTTCCAAAAAGTTCAGGCCCGAATCCACTTCGATGAGCAAAAATTGTTTTTCAGATACTCAGAGAAGAGCAGCGAAATCGCTATAATCCAAACTAGGGATGATAAGTTAGAACTTCCTGAAGAAGCATATAGTAGTGACGAGGATGACTTTTTTAATACATATGAAGAAGAAAATGACCTGGATGAGATCGAAAGTTATCATACCAACGGCACCCAAACAGAAGATGAAGAGTTGTTCTACAACCCCTGGGAAGAAGAGTATAGCCCTGCTATATATCTAACTGGCTATTGAGGAAATTCCCATTACTGATGACAATGAGAAAACTGAATCAACCCCTGCTGAAATAATCTGTGAATTGGTATAAATCTAGGCATTGGAAGAAAAACAGCAAACTGAAGCCCTACGCATTTTAAACGAATTTAATGGCTTGTTTGCCTCTGGTTTGGACGAATTGGGCCAGTATCGAGAAATTCAGCATGAAATCGATACTGGTAATGCAAAACCCATCAAACAATCGGCATACTGAGTTGCACCAGATGTGCAAGATTTCCTAAATCAGGAGATAAAAAGAATGTTAAAAAATAGGCTAATTAGTGAAATTAAGAGCCCCTAGACTTCGCCAATTGTTATCATTCCTAAAAAGAATGGCAAGCTCAGGTTATGCGTCGATTACAGGAAATTGAATGCTGTTACAAAAAAGACGCCTTCCCTTACCTCGTATCGATGATTTACTTGAGACATTTGGAAAGGCGGAGTGGTTTTCTTCGCTCAATCTGGCTAGTGGATACTGACAAATAGCAATAAGGCCTGAAGATCGCGAAAAAACGGCATTCATAACAAAACAAGGCGTATACGCCTTCAACGTGATGCCCTTCAGGTTGTGTAATGCCCTAGCGATGTTTCAAAGGGCCATGAACCACCTCCTATACGAATATATTGGGAAATATGTAGCCAACTTATCATGATCATTTGACTCACCTATCGAATGTTTTTTCTGAAATAAGGATAGCTGGATTAAAATTAAATCCCGAAAAGTGTGACCTATTTAAAAATAATATTAATTTTTTAGGCCACACAGTAGGAAAAGAAAGGATAAGGCCCGACGAAAATAAGGTGGCCAAAGTCAAGGAATTCCCAACCTCAACTAACCTGCGGCAATTAAGGGGCTTTATAGGTCTTGTCTCTTATTATCATCGTTTTATCAAAAATTTCGCCACGATAGCCAAACCGTTACATAAATTATTAGAAAAAGGGGTTAAATATGAGTGGAAAAATAAACAGAAGTAATTTTTTAAAAAATTAAAGACTCACCTCACACAGCTCCAATTCTTAGATATTCTGATTTCAAAAGAACTTTCTACCTTCATACGGATGCGTCAGGTGTCGGCCTTGGCACAGTGTTAGCACAAAAAGACAATAACAAAAGAGAATATGTTGTTGCATACGCCAGTAAAAGCCTAACCCGTCCCGAAAGAAACTATTCGGCCACCAAATTAGAGTGTTATGCAGTAGTTTCAGTGATTGAATATTTCCACCATTACCTGGGGTACAAGCCCTTCGTCATAGTTACCGACCATTCGGCTCTGAAATAGCTCCAAACTAGTGCGTTAAAGGGCAAAAGGGCTCATTGATCCTACGCCTCCAACCCTATAATTTTACTATCATCCATCGAGCTGGCAGAGTGCATAATAATGCGGATGCATTATCAAGGATGATAGCAGAAGAGTGTAATGCACCTAATCCTCCCCAAAAAGCAGCCGATATAGAAAATACTGATGGAACAAATAAAAAGGATACTAGTGTTAGACCCCTAACAAATCCAGAAGACCGGGCCGATAGTTCAACCGAAGAAGTTGAAATATTCCACGTGATAACCAAAGATTATCTTGCTGAGAAAATTGTTGTAGAGGACGGAAATGCACTGACAAATGCCGAAGAAGCATGGAATGAGATGTGGACCAAACGTTGGGATGAAGGGGAGTTTGAATGATACCTAGAAAATGAAAGACAACGTAGAGAATTAGTACAGCAATTGAATGACGAATTCTATGGAAAAATAACCCTGACAGCACAAATAGGGTATCAGTTACAACCCGAACTTGATGAAGAAAACAGAATAGATATGAACGATGAATATTTGATTGACTTACCCAAATGGACCGATGATGAGCTAGAATTCTAGAATAGCAATGATGAAGCCTATGACCCGGGATATGCTCATAGATTTTATTTGGGTCATAGTGAATGTTGGTGGAATACCAACATCGAAACAGAAATGTTCTATATTTCTTGAATTGACCCTGAAGACCCTGAATGGTCCTTATCCTTGGACGATGCAGTGATGAACTGGGATTATTATATGAATATGGAGTAATGGATTAGAAAAACAAAATGGAATTAGTAAATCAAAAAAAAATTGTTTTAAAAAAAAAAATAAAAATAAAAAGAAACAAAAAAAAAAAAAAAAAAAATTTTACTTAGTTTACACAGACCTGACGATAGAGTGTGGTTGGTCAGGATGAGATAGGGCAAGTTGTGGGGCCCTATTCAAGAAGAATGCAAAATTAAGATTTCGAGGTCCTATGGGGCCACGAAATCATGTGACCCAAAAATAAATAGCAAACTTGGAAATAGAAAAGTAGCAGGCATTAGTAAACAAGCATATAGTTAAATAATTGTTTAAAAAAAAAAAAAAAAAAAAAAAAGAGAGAGAGAGAGAGAAATACTTACTCAAGTCGAAGTAACAGAATACGCAAAATCTGGGCCCCTAAACTAAATCCAACGTTAAAATCAATTCAGTCCAGGTAGTTGGTGTCCTGGCTTAAGAATAAAATAATGATTAGCACTTAAACCACCAAGCATAAATAATAATAAATACTCAGAACTTTCAGACCAATCGAGATCTAGAATCGGAAAAAAATAAAAAAATAAAAAATATAAAATAAAAAACCGAAAATTAATCCAACGTAGATGAGACTACACGACTAGACAACAACAACCAGTAAGATATTTATCTAGAATAAATCCAGAATTGTTGTAACCGATCTTCAAAAAAGTTAGAACTGAAAATACAAAAAAATCGCCTGAGTTTATCGAAGCAACTTGCATTCGACCCTACAACTCCAGCGCTAATTAGTAATTAAAACAAACCGCTAGTATTAGATTTTAAATAAAAAAAAAAAAAAAAAAAAAAAAAAAAATGGACCTACAACAATATCAGCCGTTGAAAAATTTCATCCAGAACAAACAATACCCACCTCATTATGATAAGAACCAACAGCGAAAATTAGAAGTCCAAAACTAATTCTTCATCGTTAAGGAAGAATTACTCTATAAGAAAAATCGAAAACAAGAAAATAGTTCATTAAAAGTGTTAAGAGAAGGCGAAATCGAATCAATACTGGCCTTGGTTCACGATCATCCAACGGGAGGACATTTCAGGACCGAAATAATGTTCAATAAGTTGCGCAACCACTACTACTGGCCCCAGATGTATAATGATATAAAAGAATACATTAAAACATGTGAAAATTGTCAAAAACAGAGTGATTGCAAATCAAAAGAACTGTTGCATCCAATATCAGTCATAACCCTGTTCTACAGAATAGGAATAGATATAGTCGGCCCTCTTCCAGTAACCCCTTGATTAAATAAGTACATAATTGTAGCGACCGACTATATGACGAAATGGCCTGAGGCTCGCGCGATTCCCACAGAAGATGCTGAGGAGGTGGCTAAATTCATCTATGAGGAGATAATATGCAGACACAGGTGTCCAAATTTCATACTAACAGATCGGGGATCCCATTTTCAAAATCGTTTGATAGATGAATTACTCGCGGCTTTGTCGATCAAATGCCAGTGTTCAACCCCATACCAACCTCAAACCAATGGGCTAGTAGAACGCTTCAATAAAACCTTGTGCAATGCCGTCTCACGATTAGTAGTAAATGTAACAGATTGGGATTTACTAATCTCACCAATCCTATTTGCATATCGAACGGCAAAACAAGCCTCCACCCAAGAGATGCTGTTTTACTTAATATATGGTAGAAATGACTAATTACCTGTACATCCTAGTTCGTCTGACGAATCGTTAGATGGGTCAATTATTCAAAGGATCTATGAGATCGACCATGATCTCCCAGAAGCTCGTGAAATAGCGCTACGCCAACTCCAAACAACCTAACAGAAACAGAAAGAACGTCATGATCAACACGTCAAAGCCACATCTGATTTCTCAATAGGAGACAAAGTATTAGTTTACAATTCGCGAATAATGGGCACCCGAAGTCATAAATTTTGACCAAAATGGAAGGGCCATATTATATACATACTATCCTAACAAATGGCGCGTACAAATTGCGGGAAATGAGTGGAAAAATACTTAAATCACCTATTAATAAAAAGCAGTTAAAAGCGTACCATGAACGAAACATATAAAAAGCGGCCTCAAAACTATGCAAATAACATAGCCAAATTAAAAAAAAAAAAAAAAAAAAAAACAAAAAAAAAAAAACAAAAAGAGAAAAGAATATATATTATTTTTTTTTTTTGAGGCTATTATGACAAATTACGAAGAACTCATTCAAGAAGACCTTTTGTCCACGAACCCACCTTATGTGGTACCAGAAGCATGCCCTTATCATAATACGCAAATACTCCTTGCCTATAATAAAATGATCAAGGCTAAAAAACCGGCGACCAGATTGGAAGTATCGTTCACGCTTATTATCTTGGTGTAGACTCCATATATTGCTATATCAAAGCAGCCAACCATATCTACTATTTGTTCAAACCTTATGGGGTGGAACAAATTTATTGTACCAAACATATTTCGGTTCTCATGGTCACCTGACTTAAACTTTCCGAGCTCAATCGGCTAATCTATACATTGCCTGTGGAACGTGCCCTTTTGGTGAGGAAGAATTGTAAAAAGGAAAAATGTTATTTGTCAATCACTGCAGTTTTAGACCTATTAGTAACACAAGTTCTAGAAATCCTTGGAATCACAAAAATCCTTGTGATCTCTGTGATCCTAAATATCTTTGATATTCCAGTTATTAGTGGTATAACAGTTATATCTCGGATAGCGAGGATAACCAAGATAATAGAGATAAAAGAAATCACGAAGATATTAGATATCATCGATATATTAGATATCAGAGTTATATTAGATATCTCAGTATATGTAAAAATAATGTATATAAGCAGTGTAAAATTACCTTGAATAAAATTAACTCAGTGAGTTCGAAAAAGTATTTTCCACCTAACAATAACCCTTGAGTCTCCAAAGCCTTCAAATTAGAGTAGAAGTGCTTGATTGTAAACCGTAGTACCCTTATTGTTAAAAAATCGTTTGTCGATTTTGCTTTATCTTGTCCCTGTGATTTTTGTACATTGATTGTCGTATTTAGTAAGAAAGAGACAATCGTATTAATAATACAATCCATTTTTATATAAATCGATCCTGATCAAATTTGTGATAAATGTGATTTTACCTAAACCGTGACCCTGTGATACCGTGATCTTGTACCACATTTCCGATTGGCCAATTTCGATTACGGGATCTAGCTGCAGCACCTACGAAAAGAAGTGACAGTATTAGTAAGAGTGTGTAAAGAAAGCGAAAGAAGTAATAAGAGGATAGTAGAACAATTATCAAGAAAAGATTTACTTATCTAAGCTCAACACTACTTCTACTTATCCAATTAAACCTGGTTACTCGGACCAAGTCTTTCCACGCCTTAATCGTTGCCTTACCAATATTAGGGTATTAGTTTAAGTAGTTATAATTAGTGTTGGTGTTTTATAGTAGGGAATTATTATATACTGGCCCAGTAGACTTTCTGACGCAGCCCAGTTACTCACACCTTTTACAACGTATGTACGTACGTACGTATGTATTATTTTGTGTAACAATCAAAAACAAATATATACGCACTTGTATTAGTATACGTTGTTACTATAGTTGTTTTTTTTTTTTCTTTTCTGCGCTATGGTGATACATCGGTCATATATTTCGAACTGACAGCCGTGTTACTGATATCTCTTTTATCTATAGATTATCGATTTCCTATTATATATATATTATTATAAAAATTTCTATTTTCATTTTTTTTATCTATATTTTTTTATGTACAACGTTGTTATTATCCATCTTTAGTTAGATTATCTCACCAGCAGCGATCTCTTATGATTTTAATCGGATCACATTACATTGTCCAAGTGTACCTTTTTGGTAGTTAATAGAGTAATTTCGTCGCTTTCTATTATGGTAGATCATACTAGTAGGAATTAACTGGTAACGTTACGGAGGAAATTAAGGAATTACATATGTTTGAGTATAAGATAAACGAGAAGGGAAGTTCGTGAGCTTCCTCAATGACGTTCTATTGTTCTTGTATTGTTGTCATTGAGCCGTCTATAGTTTAGAATAGAAAGGGAAGTTGTATTATTTATAAGGATGAATGTAATGCATTTAAGTATTACTGCCCTTGTTAAAATTTGTAATTCTTGTACTCGTTAAAGATGTATTTAAGACTGCGATTTTTGCCCTTAATAAAGAGCAGACTTGGATCTCATTAAAAAAAGAATTCGATCTCCTGAATATTTAAATAAATACTTTTACTCTTACCCCTGAATTGAAGTATCATGAATACATCTTCACGATCGTATTGTTATTGACCCCGTACTGTGAATACATCTTCACGGTCCGAATATTATATCATATAATCATACACCTATTGTTGTCCCTATCTTACATTATTTTATCTTTCGTTCACTATCGCTGAGTTAAACTTGGCCACTTACTGATGCTCTCCCAATTTCCGATAGTAACATTTGGTGCCAGTTGTGTGGAATTATCCGCCTATTAGGTTTTAGGACCGCATGAATAATTTCGAACAGCATTCAAGGAATATCAGAGAACATGACCGTCATCATTATTTATTTGGAAAAACCCCGCAAGTGATTAATTATTTGATTAGATATTATCGTGACGAATCCTGCTCCGTTTGTTATCCACCTCAAGATCTTTCTCCTCGATTCTATAACTTTTGGGCTTGGTTTAGTACTTTTCAACCAGCTATTTTATTTTCTCAATACACCCTTCGACGATTTGAAAAGCTTGATAATTTTGAGATCGAGACTATTCCTGATAGATTGTTGTGCTCGTTCATTTTCAGTTTTCGTTATAGTGAACAGCCTGACAATTTCCCTACTCTTTTAACTGAGTTTTTAACTGCTTACCAAGAAACCGACAGATTCGCCCTTGATCCTTTTAAAGATACATACAACGCTAGTGAAACCCTTGAAGAAAACCTTATGGCCCACGATCATAACCGAGACCCTCCTCTCTTAATCAATCCTAACGATGACGAGGATGACCAACCGCAGAACAACTTTCCAGAAGGTCAGAATGACTCTATGACCCTTTTAGCCCAACAGATTGGTAACCTCGTTCCTCAACTGCAACATGCCCTGGCGCCTCAAATTAACATTCCCACTGCACAAAATCGTGAACTCAATTTGGTCACATATCCCGACTTCTCTGGCGGTGAACAGGACCCAATCACCTGGCTAGAGGATGTTGAAAAAGCATTTGAAGCCAATCAAGTGCAGGATAATCGTAAGATCCCTGTAGTTGTCCCACACTTGAAAGGAACCGCCTCTACTTGGTG